CTGATCTAGGTCCATGTCTTCGTCGGAGGCTTCGATGAGCTCGGATGACACCGCTGTACGTGGCATAAGTGTCACTGATGTGGCGTAGTTGCCTGCGTAGAACTTGCTTCGGCTGAGCAGTCGATCACCGTTGGATGACTTGGGATCTTCCGGGTCATATTGTAAGACGTGGAGGTTGCAGTCGCTGTCTGCAACCAGCATGTAGAGCTTGTTTCCATCCGGGAGGAAGTCGGCTGCCACCACTTCCAGGTATTCGGGGTCTTTGCCAAAGAGCGTCATCTTGTAAGGCTCCTCCGAGTAGCCTGCAAACCAGAGTCCTTTCACGGCATCGCCTATAAGGACCATGCCAGTGCCCTTGAGCTCCTTCGCAACACTGACATAACATTGCATGTCCATAAATGCCACGGGGAGAAGGCTCCCGTCTTCTTTAAGACCTCGGACCATGCATTTTTGTCCCTGGGCAACGATCACGAAACCTTGACCGCCGATGCCGGATAGAGCTGTCACGGCGCCTTTCACTGACTCCTTGCCGACTAACTTCAGTTTACGGCCGGTCTCGGGCTTTTCGGGATCTGGAACCACGTTCACCACCTCGAATACGTAGATGGAGCCGCGGGCTGGTATGTCCTCGCCCTTGGCAATAGCAGTTCCAACGACAATGAGATCCTTGCGTTCGTGGGTATTCTCCGAGATCTCGATATTCACATTCTTCACTGCTGTCACCTGCTCATCGGGATCTAGCGAGTAACTGTGACGGTTATTAGTGTCTCTTCCCACCATATCGCGAGATTGCGGATCATTACCTGTCAACGATAGACCAAGTCTTGGGGCTAATGACCTTTATGCTGCTCTGAGGGATTTCCGGACAGAAAGATATGTCTGAACGCTGCATTAGCAAACAGCCAATAGAAAAAGATCAGCAATACGCAAAGACTAACCTTCACTGCGCCATTCGGGGTGCAAGTCATCACCCTCTGGCAATCTGAAGTCTGCGCGTTGACTTGAAGCAAATACGTATGTTTCAGAAGACGTAGAATAAGCCAGGTGATCAACCTGCTCCTCCAGGGCAATCTTGCGCAAGGTCCACGAATAGTCAAATTGGGTTTGTGGGGGCAATTGGCATGCCCGGACGCAGCTCTGTAGACTGTCTTAGCAATGTAGAGGTGTGACTGACCGTCGGAATGAACAAGGGATCTTACCTGTGAGTCCACGTAAATGAACCCTTTTTCACAGCCGGTATCGGCTGAAGCAAAGCTGCTCAGCCAACGTGTATAGCCTCCCCGAAGACGCAATATGTGTGGTGAGCTTTTCGCAGTCTTGAAAACAAAGCTGGAAGAGGCGCCGGGCATGAATACTGTGCTGAATCCTGAAATATCGGATACAACACGCAACGGTCTAATGCGTCGTTGGTCATCCGTTTGTGAAGTCTCTCCGGAAAAATTCTTCGGCAGGACATGGTTGGCCTCCCGGAAGAATTGCAAGCAACGGGACGATTCGTCATCAGGATTTGACAGCATTAACATGGGTTTGTAAAAGATGAGATCGTCGTTGTCGGTTCGAACCTAACGTGCTTCGGTCAAAGTCTAAACTAGGCATGAACAATGATGGAATGCATACAATCAGATAAGGCGAGGCACTGGTCCGGTCGCCAAGATTTGCGACAACGAATTCGGTTAGGGTTTCCCGAGTATTTGACCGCCGAGGAGGCTCAGACGATAGCACAGGTGGCAAGCAGTCGACGCCTTCAATCACAGCGAGCATCTTCAAGTCAGAAAGTCGGAATATCTGCTCCAAGTTAGAAGCAATTCCAGATTATCTCTTCAAAACGACTCACTGATAGCTTGCAATCCAGGCCGAGCAAGAAAAGAAGTGTCTCGTCTTGTGTGGTGCTGTCGGGCATTGAATCTGCAGGACTGAATGATTGAGACTTGTCGTGATATAGACAGCCGGAGCGCCATTTCGACGTGCTGATATCTTGTGGAAGCGAAACCTCATCGAGATCTCCATTGTTGTCCGCTTGCAGAAGCAACACAGATGAATCATCCCGAAGAATCACAAGGTAAGGGTCAATAAAGCTCGCGCTTACGGCCACACGTTCATCGCTAGTGTCTTCGTCCCAAACAGGGTAAATTTGTGACAATCCCAGATCTGTGAAGGTTGATCATTAGTTATACAATGCTTGCAAATATATTCGGGGTTGACCGTACCCATGTCATAGCTCCTGACCTCGTTCCGCAATACCTGAACTAGACGAGTATCATCCGCCAAAGAACCGATATCAATTGTGCAGTCTTCGTTGGGGTTGAACTCCGGTGCCTTGAAAGGCTTCAAGCTTTGTTCTTCCACCGAAAATACCTCATTCACTTCCTGGTCCGAATCCGTGGACCGCGAGATGACCACGTACTGACGGGATGGGTTGTCGATAGTGCCGGACAATCCACCTTTCCCTGGAGCGACGGTGGCCGACCAAACACCATTCACATCATCATCAACTTGAAGAGAGATGGTAGTCAACGGGTCAATTTCACGCTTAATAACCACCAGGCCACCGCCTCGGTCCGAGCCTTGCGCGGCCACTAACTCAAGCTCAGCGGAAACAGCTTCACTAGTCGGTTGGTTTTTTATCGTTTTCGGAATGGCTTTGCCCAGGGTTGTGTCTCTCAGGGGTCCAATGTTCAACAGACGATCATTCAATCGGAAGTTGTAATACTGTGTTGAATTGTCGGTTCCTATCCGATGATCGATCTGTGCCGGTCCGGGTGCCGAGGAATAAAGGTCATCGTCATAGATGTCATCTTCCATCTGGTCCTCATCCGAAAGTTCTCCAGCGTCATTAGCCGTTTGCTTTGACCCAAGCCGGGCTTTCTTTGTTGAGGCTGATGAATGAGACCATTCCAAAAGCACTGAATCTGCATCCTCGCTGCCAAGGAAGACGTTCCCATCACCGAAACAAGTGGAACATGAGGCTGCCGACTTCAGGATATCCCCACCCGCATTCGAAGGAAGGCGATGAACAGTGATGCCGGAAACAGATCGTCCGTCAAGCTTGAATTTGATTAGTGCCATGTCCCCAGACGCAAGGGCTAGGAGCAGGTCGCCGCTATCACCACCAAGTCGCTCAACCACGCAACCTTCGAGGCGGAACGACAAGTCGGATTGGTCGGTCATTGAGAATGCAGAGACCTGCCTAGAGAATTCATTGACCCCCACCGCATTGGTCTTACCAGCTTGGTCCACATGCACAATCTCATTGGAGCCAAGAAGCAAGGCGCCTCCTACCGGGAGTGGGAGTGGTACAACCTTGAACAGGTCACTCGGTAGACGGGACACCGAAAGAAGCGTTGTAGATGCTCGCTGTTCGAGGTCTAGTGTGAAGACTGCGTAAAATACCACATCTTTTCTCTCGTGAAGAAGGGCAGTGGAGGTTGCGACTTGTGAATACAAAATTCCAAACGTGGGCTCTCTATATTCATAAAGGAACGCAAGACTTATGGGGTGCAACAATGAAGGGTCCAAGGCAGTCAATGACAAGACAAAAGATGAGGCATAGGGGGTTTGGTGTGCTGGTTCATCTTTGCTTTTCTCAACTTCGAAGCCAGGTTTTGGGCGTTCTCCGTCAAGCTCAGGGTCGTAGTCATCCATCACCAGGTCATCACCCGCCTGATGGAAAGGCAGAATCGCAAGGTTGCGGATCCCGAAATTGTACACCGCGCATCTGCTGCTGGGGTCAACACTCAAAATGCTCCCACACTGGCTCAAGTCAGGCACCCAGGGGCTGCGGGTCAGGTCGTCCCGTTCGTAGTAATGAATGGAGATGGTTGAGATTCCATAGCGCTCTGGGTCCCACTCGATCAAGCTGAGTTTGGCGTTCCGGACCGCAATTAGAATGGCTTCTCCACCACTCTTTGTGTTCAGGATTTTGACTCGGCTCAAGTCAGTCACTGTTCCGGATAGCTGGTATTCTTTCTCCAGGACTAGCTTTGCTTCTGGCTGGGAAAATTGCGAGATTTGACTGTCTGATCCATCTCCCTGTGGTTGAGGAGAGGGCTTGATAAGCGAAAACACCTGCAAAAGAGATGTTCTGACAACAACCAAGTTGTTGGCTGTTGCTGAAATGAAAGGCGCTGCCAAAGCATGAGTGACCCCAGTCGGGGGAAGAAGCTCTGTATAGCACTGCATTTGAAGACTGAAGCCGCTTTAAAGTTGAGGAAAGGCCTGGGACTGCGTAGATACCTCCAATGAGCTAAATTGTGCGTTTGATATGACTCTTGATGCACATTGCAATTGCCGAATCAGGGGGCTAGAACGGGGATGATGGAGTACCAGGGGCACAAGGTAGATTAAATGAAGCAAGAATGAGATCCGATCAAATGAAGGAAGAGATCGGAGATCGAGATCGATCTCTGTCTTGTGAGAGTCAAGTTTGTAGCTCCTTCGAAGCGCAGAACCAAAAGCATGAATGGCACAAAAGCCACCGCCTTTCTCTCCGCCTTACATAACCATTTCTTTGTATCCGGACGTTACAAGGCAAGTTCTTACTTCGACTACTTATGATGAACTTAATTAAGTTAGAGAGGATCAACAGACAAGATCTTGTCCTTCTATTTAGGTCGGAGGGAATAAATGGTAGTGGGAGAGAAAGCAAGGACTAGGTTGTTGTATATGTACATTCTGAGAGGCTTCACACCAATATTCCAACCAGTCTCAAGCCAACTACCCATATATGCAGCAGGCCAGGCTACTACCAGCGAAAGCAGGAAAATGTCGAAGCCACAAAGTCAACCCCTGGCAAGTATCTGGCAAGTATAAAGCCGAAGATCCGCTCATTGGCATGGCAGAACTAGGCGGTCAATCCAATGTCCAGATCCAGTCTAGCGTGATGTGAGCAATGACGACACAAGCATAGCTTCGGGATCCTTTTTCTTGGGCTCGCATTCCTGTCCTTTTCAGGTGGATGTCGACCTCACGATCCATGTGCAAACTGTGAACTGCTCTTCAAAATGGCGCTCTTGCAGACCTCACTCATCTGGATTGTATATGCGGTGGTAGTAGTTATCCTACTAGCAGTCGCATCGGTGTTTATCTATGTCTATCAAACGCCCCGGGATCGCTCACCCTCGGTTACCCTGACTTGCATTATTTCAATTACTAGTCTTCTGGCAACAGTACTCTTGCTGCCAGTGGATGTCGCTTTAGTGTCGTCGACCACATCGTCCAAGCTGGGCCAACGAAAGGATTGGGCAACGCAAGACGTCGTTGACAGAATTACCTATTCCTTGACCATCATCTACTATCTTCTCTACTCTCTGGATGCTCTCCTCTGTCTTTTGGTTATACCTTTCACATACTTCTGGTACGAGGAATATGATGAGGTCGCGACTGAAACGGGGGAGCAAACGGTGGGCCAGCGGATTTGGGGTGCCTTGAAATATACCCTATCATTCGTTGCTATCGTGGTGATCCTATTCCTGGTTGGATTCTTCGTTCCAGTATCACAGGGAAAGAGTGATATGGACCTGGATTACTTCAGACGCCTCCTAACCGAGAACCGTAAGTATTCATGCCTCCTGGCATTGGGGACTGTGAAGCTGACATAGATCTATGAAGATGGCGAGCGTGCTTTGACCTTTGCTCTGGGGTTGCTGATGACGATTGGGCTCTGTCTCTATGTCTTATATACTTCGGCCGGTTTGGCTCTCCTTCCAATCAGCTTGATCAAGACGGCGCCATCAATCTCCAGTGCTACCTTGCGAGCGAGTACCAGACAACAACTGGAGACAAACCGAGAGCGGCAACGGCAACTCGAGGGACGATGCGCCGGAAACCCCGAGCTTCTGTCTTCCAAAGACCGTCGGGAACTGGATACATTGACGCGAGAAGAGAGGACCCTGAGTCGACGCCAACGTTTAGCTGAAGAATCCCAAGGCGAGGGGCGGAGCTGGTTGATGAAGGTATGGTACAAGGTCGGCGCAATCCTTCGTCCATTCAAGCTCCTAGGGGCATCCTGCTGCTCTTCGTTGCATTCATAACATGGGTATCCATGCTCTTGACGTCAATTGACAAGGCAAAGAACTCGATTTGCAAGCATCGTTGTGGATATATTCTTGCACGCGTCAATATCTTTAACCCTGTCAACTGGGCGCTTGTTCAGTCCGCCAAGGTCTTCCCCATTGACTATGCTATCTTCACCGTGCTTGTGTTACTGTTTTTCTGCAGTTCCGTTGTTGGGATTGCTGTGGTTGGAATTCGCTTTCTTTGGATCAGAATCTTCCAAATTCGCAATGGCCACACATCTCCCCAGGCACTGCTTCTAGCGACTGCCATGTTGATGTTGATAATCCTGGCGCTCAATTATTCCATCTCGATGGTAGTTGCGCCTCAGTACGCCACATTCGGTCCACAAACATTTTGTGATCGTGCTCCTGGGTTGTTCCTTGGGAAGCCGGATTGCTCAGACAGCAAAGAACTTATCAAGCCATGCTCTGAGTTAGCGAAGAACCCTGACGCACAGCAAGTCTGTACTCCCAGCGTCGTGAGCACTTTCCTTAATCGGGTCACTCTAAACTATCCGTTCTTTGGAGTCGTGTTCTTCTGGGCCCAGTTCCTTTTCCTAGGTAAGATCAAGTTTTGTTCCAACATTTGTCCAAAATTTCCTTGTTTACAGAATCTGATCCGCATGATACAGGCTTGTATCTCATTGTTTTCGTCACTTCCCTGCTCCGCTCCCCGAAACTGGATGAGAGGCAGCTGGATGAAGACGCTGAGGAGGCTGAAGAGGAAGGCCTACTGGCCAATACTGGCAGACGTTTCAATGCCAGCTGGCAAGATATCACAGGTAGAGCTGCTAGGAGCGAACTCTCGCACAGCTAATCTACCGAAAATTTCCATAAACCAAGATGGTTTGAATATCACCTGGGGCAATTGAGGAAAAAAAAAACTAATCACTCTCAAGTGTGTTAGACTAACTGATGAAAGGTGTCTTCCAGTGGTCTGATTCTAATAATTTGCATAAGCTCAACTGTCATTATTATGAGTCGTATTTGTTTTAGTGCTCACGCCGTCAGAAAGATTAGGAAATAATGCACCATGGCATTTTGCAGGTTGATTCATTCTCAAATCCTGTATGGCCCTGCTCAAACAAAAGGGAAGTATAACATAACTTCGTAAGATTGGATCATAAGTGTCGTATTAATGATGTACTCAAACCTTGAGCTGCTCGTTGAGTAGCGCAAGAGCACTTTGGAAAGCCTTCACCACCTCCGTATCTAAAGAACAAAAGCAATCAGTGCCTGGTGTCAAGCAAGAACTGGGCTGTCGAGCTTACAATGCTTTCTTTTGTTTTCCATGCTGACTTCCGAGTGTTGAACATGCTGCATCTGGGTCTTGAATCTATGAGACATAAGAATTTCATCCATTGGCATCTTTCCAGGTTAAGAAACCATACCTTTTCAATGCCCGATTTTCATCTTGCAACACAGTGGTTTGAGACCAGGCCATAAAAACCTGTCCAATGGGTCAGATATGATTCTGCAAGGCGTATGGTCGTCACATATTTTACCTCGAGCAGTTTTGCTGTTTCAATGCGAAGATTCTCTTCCACTCGGCTGTGTTCTTCCATTGAATCGGAATATTTGTTTTGCAGTTGCTCCCAGTCGCAGTCCTCGAGGTCCTGCGTCAGTTGTGAAACAAGGGGGAACTCATCCTGGACGGGAACAGGCAGAGATTGGATTGGTAGCTGAGGACTTGTGTTTTGGGAGTTCCCATTTTCTTGGGGAATTTTGCTTTCTTGGCTGACTCGTGGAGACATATTCCAAGGTCGAGGAATTTTACTGGTTCTGTTGGGTGTTGATTGCATTCTGGGGTAGAATCGCAAGGTATATGAAGCATGTCAAGTCAATAGTTCAACTTCACAAGTTAACTTTAACAGTTTGCACTTGTTTGCTGTCCGATAAGCGATAACGGAGCGGTCACGCTGTCAGGTGACGTCGCTGCTCATCATCCGACTTATTCCTTTCCCTCTGTCATAAGGGGAGAATGCCAACTAGAATCGGGCTCGAAGCCGGTCATCTTTGTTATATCTGTCATCTTCTCTGAGTCATGTGGAATCTGTATCTCTTTGATGACGCTCTCACTCTGCTATATGGTTCTCGGCGGCGACTCAAAACAGCGCCCACTCTCGTCTTAAAACACAATATGGACATGCGCCTTGCGCCCCTAACGAACAGTTGAACCCGAACAAACCGGCCTGCGATGAGCTGTTCTATATGCTCCTGTGCGCCTCACTCCCGCCTTCCTCTTCACTGCCCGACATGTGGCCGCAACCAGCTTTATCAGCTTCGGATTGAGACTACACAAGTCCTTCTGGAGAAAGAAGCTCTCGGACGGCAAATTGAGACTGCTGTCATATCGGCTGGTTCCCATGATCAACCTGGAGGCCGACAGGAGTCTCTGGATACAGAGAATAGAGGCTCCCCCCGCTGGGACCTCCAGATGATAAGCAGCCGACATAGTGAGTCCTTGGCAAAGAGAGAGCTCCTTGCACATCAGATCGAAGCGTTGAGGTCAGAGGTCAGAGCCAAAAAGGCCGAAATCTCTGAACGCAAAGAAGTTCTGGCGCGCAGGCGCGCGGATGCTGAATCTGCAAAGTACCAACTTGAAGATCGTGAAATCGCAATCGTTGCGGGTATACAGAACACCAGTAAAAGGACGGAACATGTCTGGCACTCGCTGCACAGCAGAACTGCCGAGTCCCGGATCTATCTTTGTCGGGAAGTCGCCAATCTTTATGGGTTGAGGAAGACCGCGAAGAAGGGCCAGGCTCTGGATATATATGTGTTAGGAGGCGGCGCTGTCATCGACTTAAGGGATATGAATGGCAAGTTCCCCGTCACGACTGGACAGATTAATCCCATAGCATACTAACGGGAGAATACAGGCGTCCCACCAGAACAGATATCTACGTCCTTCTCAAATATCGCTCACCTTGTTATCATTGTCTCCCATTATCTCTCGTTGAGGCTTCCGGCTGAAATCACGTTGCCTCATAGGAACTACCCTGTGCCTACCATCTTCACCCCTTCATCATCATATCGCTCGCGTGATGTCTCCGATGGAGCAAATATTCAGTCATCTTCAAGCCCCGCAGCGTCAAGAACAATGGATTCACGCGCCCATACACCACGTCCCCGACCCCTTTTCGTCGATAAACCGCTACCTCGATTAGCGAAGGAAGATCCTGCAACATATGCCCTCTTTCTCGAAGGGGCCATTCTCCTGGCTTGGAATGTTGCATGGCTTTGTCGAACTCAAGGGATCAATGTGTCATCCGACTCATGGGAAGAGGTGTGCGATATTGGCAAAAACTTGTGGCAACTGCTGGTTGCTCCGCCAGCCCATCCCTCAACCCTGATGCGAGCTTTTGCTGGGCGAGACACACAAGCACAAATGAAATCGGCCAGAGACTCCCCCAAGACAACGATTCAAAGGACAAAATCATTTCCCATGTTAGGCCATTACTCTCATGGCACGGCGCATTCATTTTTGGGAGCATCAGAAGGAGTGGACTTTATGCGAATGTGGAAGCTACCAACCCCTACCAAGATTGTAGACAAACTGAAGTCCAATCTTCTTGGGGAGATGGCAAGTGCAGAATGGGAGTTGCTTGAGGAAAAAGAATGGGACGATGCAATGACGGAATCCCACCAACCATCACTTCCACACAGCTCCAGCACCCTTGCTTCTGGATTTCAACCTGGGATAAGAGCAGAGACAAGTGACGGAAAGTCCACTGCCAGTTCAAAAACACGATCTGGCTCTAGGAGAAACCAAGGCAATGAAGACCCCCAAGCTCCCCCACGGCCTAAAGGCACCAAAGGCTGGACCAAAGTGGGCAGCAGGTAGAGAATTGGAAACAAGGGGTAGATATTGCGTTTATTACTGAGGATATAATTGAGGATCTACTTAATTGCTTCTTTTATCAGAGCTGTAAATGTAAACTGAAGGGAGTTGAGCTTCATATGTGTAAGAAATGTGACTAAGCAAGAGGGGCCTACGGGGACAGTGTGACTCGCTCTAACGCGTGTCCGAAGATCGCTTCCACTAGTCTGGCCACTTTGGGTTTGAAACGATGCTGCTTGTGTTGTTGACCTTTTCCCGGTAGTGTTCTGCGGTTTGCTCTTTTCTCAGCAGGGCTCAATTGCGTGTCTTTTCCAACTCCCTACGATCCAAGTTCCCCTTCCGCATTGCAGGGAACCGGGGATGCGGTTATAGCCACAAATTCGATCCAATATCAAAATGCAGAATGCTCAATCCTGGCAGCCTGCAAATGGCATATCTTCTGGTGAGTTCCTATCGCAAAGAATCAATCCGGGTCGGTTTCAAACTGATGTCGGTCCGAACAGACTTGAAACGTGCCCTGTCGACTCTCGCAGACATACCAGATTCTATCTTGAAAGCAGAGCTTCTTCGACGTGATGGAGCTTCAGATGACACGCCGGCGTGTGGCTCCAAGCAGCGGGGTGCCTATAACACTCCGTTACATGTTATGGCACTGTTCCTCATCCTTATCCTGAGTACATTCGGTATGTGCTGTTATATCACGCTTCATCATGCTACTCGTTGCTAACGTTTAATCTACAACAGCATGCTCATTTCCGGTTCTTGCTCGCCGATTCCCCCGTCTCCCGATCCCCCGTCGGTTCCTATTTATATCGAGGCACTTTGGAACTGGTGTTCTGATTGCGACGGCATTTGTACACCTTCTCCCCACAGCCTTTGTCTCCTTGACCGACCCCTGTCTTCCTAAATTCTGGAGTCAGTCATATCGCGCTATGGCGGGCTTCGTTGCAATGATCTCCGTCTTTGCTGTTGTTCTTGTGGAAATGTTCTTTGCTATGAAAGGCGCAAAACATGTGCACGGGAGCGAGTACGATAACCTCATTGGTGAGGTTGCACGCGACTCTCTGAGTGATTTCGGCGATGCAGACAGAGACTACTCGGGGTTAGAAGCGCGGCGGACATCGGACAACATTAACCTAGATAGTATGCATTACAACCCCAAATCAGGGACGGCGAGAGCTTCCGGCTCGTCGCATGAATCTGACCAACTCAATGTGGCGGATACATCCGCAGGCAAAGGGGATGATCTTTCTGACCTTGATGGTCTTGATGCCTACACGGATGATGACCAGCAGCCAATCAATAGACAGGCAGCTCAATCTCAACCTCTCCGCCATCGGCCACATGCAAGCGAGAGTCATGGACAGCAAACTGACATGGAAGTCCTAATTCAGAACCCGCAACGCCAACTTCTTCAGTGTCTCCTTCTGGAGGCTGGCATTTTGTTCCACAGCATTTTCATTGGCATGGCGCTCAGCGTTGCAACTGGCACGTCGTTTGTAGTGCTTTTGATCGCCATCAGTTTCCATCAGACCTTCGAAGGCTTTGCTCTCGGATCTCGGATTGCGTCGCTCATCCCAGATCTCTTCGCCCCCAATTCCATGAAACCGTGGCTGATGTCACTTGCCTATGGAACGACCACCCCAGTTGGCCAAGCTATCGGCTTGGTTTTGCATAATCTCTACGACCCCGCAAGTACGACTGGCCTGCTGATGGTTGGTATAACCAATGCCATCAGCAGCGGTCTTTTGCTCTTTGCGGGCTTGGTAGAACTCCTGGCGGAGGACTTCCTCAGCGAGTCAAGTTATGAGACCCTCAAGGGTAGACGACGTGTCGAGGCATGTGTATCTGTTGCTTGTGGTGCCCTTCTCATGGCCTTTGTTGGCGCCTTTGCTTAACAATGTAGATGTTTTGGGATTTTCTGGTCATCCTGTTTGATAGATTAACGAAGCGAGCGCGCGATACCATACAAATTTTATAAAGGCCCTTAGCCTAGTAATCAATTCTTCCAATTTCTGTGCAAGTTGTAAACGTAAGCGTCGAATGAGGTGTGAAATACCCTGGTGAATTAGCTACATAGATTGAGGTTGTTATCCTCCGACCTGATACCTCGAGTTATCATCCCACGGTACAATTGCCCCAGTATGTTTTGTGGCGGGCAGTACCAGCCTTTTTAAATCAGCTTATAGTTCATTTGTGTTTCGTACAGACTAAACAATTCAGACAAGAGTTGGCTTTCAGGTGCCGTTGCTAGGAAGAAAAGGAGCACAATAGACACTAAGACAGTAGGATATCTCATTAACAAGTCTAGATACAGACAAAAAAGGGATGTGACGGATGTTCTTCACTGCAAAATTCCATAGGCACTGCACGCCGAGGTCTGCAAGAAGTCGTTCAATCCGGTCAACCCATCAAAATTTTAATATTTCGTGCAAATATAGATGGTCATATCACATCTCCGTTTATCGTTAACAGAGTTCACCATTTACAGGGACTCCAGGACAAGGGCGCTGGCACCGCCACCACCGTTGCAGATACCGACACAGCCAAGCTTGCCCTTCTTAGCGCTCAGCACACCAAGCAAGGTGGAGACAATGCGGGCACCGCTGGCACCAAGAGGGTGACCAATGGCGACAGCACCACCGTGGATGTTAACCTTCTCCTCCGAGAGGCCAAGGAGCTTCAGGTTGGCAAGGGCCACAACACTGAATGCCTCGTTGATCTCAAAGGCATCAATGGAGTCCTGGGTGACACCGGCATGCTTGAGAGCCTTGGGGATGGCCAAAGCAGGAGCAGTGGTGAACTTGCTGGGCTTATGAGCAGCGTCACCCCAGCCCAGGATCTTGGCAATGGGCTTGAGGCCGAGTTCCTTGACCTTGGCCTCGGAAACCAGAACAACAGCGGCGGCACCGTCGTTGAGAGGCGACGAGTTGGGGGCAGTGACAGTTCCGGTGCCAGGAATGAAAGCGGGCTTCATGGCGC